CCAAGCCTTTATAGTAGTGATGTATGAAAAATCGAAATGGCGTATTTAAGTGTTTTACACTCACAAAAAAGAAAACTATCATTCTATAAGTATTTGAAGAACTTGTAGCATTCTGCCACAATTTAATTCTTCACATTGTTAGCCGACACTGGGCAGTTGGTACATAATTGAATAGAGTTGTTTAAACATTTGTTTAACAACAAGTAAAAGTTTGGAATGGTCTATTCTTTCATTAGGGGGGGGGTGTCTGTGAGCCAGACTAGTTTCGGAGAATTCCACTCCTTATCAGTGATCCTGGACACTACTTGTTGTTAAACAAATGTTAAAGTGTAAAACACTTAAATACGCCATTTTGTACACTTAAAAATATATTTTGTGAGTAAGCCTGGTGAAGAGAGGGATTGTACACTAGCATTTTCAATGTTGAGAATTTTACTTGTCTGAAACAGCTTGGTGGTACAGTGCTATGCAATTTTTTCCGAATGCTAATTAAATTTATTTTGAGTAGGAAATGCTGACATCCAAGATTTTCTAAACAAAACATTGCCTGGTGTTTTCATTATGTGGAAGGACAGGTGTAGTGATTTGTTACAAATGAAATTAGAGTGGCCAGTCACAAGACATAATGTTGAAATGAAAATAAAACATTTTTTAGAATAAAAATGGAAGACTAGATAATTTGGATAGTGTTGACAATTGCATTGTGAAATAAGGAAAATTATGAAAATGAAAGGATCAGAAGGTAGAACAGATTACAAATGAATAAGAACTGGATTTTGACCTGATCCTTTGCACTTCTAAAATAAAAAGGTGGACTGCTCTCCTCAAAGTTCAGTAAACACTTCTAGAAAGTGCAAAATGTGCTTCAAAAATGACATCCTTATCTCTCTGTACACAATAGCTATTTCTCTTGTATGCCTTTGACATTTTATGCATGCCACTAGCCTTAAGATATTTCCAACCTAAAGCATGTTTTAACGTGAACTGTGCTAGTGTACGATGTAATCATTATGTGACAATAGCACTCCACCAATATATCCTCTGTACAGTAGCTCCCAAAAGTTCTCACACTTGAAATTAACTTCATTCTTTTCCTCAGCACTGTCATAAATGGACATGTTTCTCAAAGTTTAAACCGTGTTCAATGTAGTGATTTGTTCTACCTATATTCAAGCATTAACTTTCATTCATTTGATTTTATTTCATCATACATCACCTTTCAATTACAACATAAAAAAATCTGAAGAATTCCCTTAATCACAATGAATTCTCAAGTGATGGTGACTACTACCTCCTCATAAGATTCTTTTTTGTCCTCATGGTCAGGTTCAGAAAGAGGGGAACACACTCTCAACAAAGGGACAGGGAGATGAAGCAGTGAAGACAGTAAGCAGTATGGCAAAAACATCCTCCACAGTCTTTAGTGGTCACTGACGAAGTAGGATCAGTGTTAGCAAAATTGTCATATGATTGGCTCTTTCCATCTCCTGGGTTTGTACTATGTTCCTCTACCTGTACTATGTTCCTTCTCCAAACCTCTTTGTGGATTTGGTTTCTCAAGTTTGCTTTTTTATTTTCTTTCACCTATGTCTCTTGATTCTTCCCATTCCATATTAATTGCCTCTCATGCTGAAGATTATTTGATTTTTCCTCATTATCCAGACATACTTGTACATGATGAATCATTTCTGGATCAGCTTTGTTTACACTTGTGAATGCATCATCCTCTTCACATCCAGGAATATTTTGCCATTGTTTATTGTCATTGCCATTTTCCATTCTTTGGTTTCCAATCCCTGGAGTTCCTTTTACCTGCTTGGGATAGGGGTGATCTCATGTCCCCAGCAACTCTTGTACTCAATTTTCCTGTCATCACCTTTTTTTGTCTTAACTATCTTCTTCATTAACTTTCCTCTCTGAAGCCCTACACTGTGAATCTGATGGATTTTTTTAGGCCTACATTTGGTATTTTCAGTACTTTTTCCAGGTTTTCGTCTTATGCTTTGTTGCTGATTACTTGGTTCTTCTGTTGTTGGAACTTTCTTGGACATGATTTTCCTCTCTCTCTGCTACTTGTATTTCCCATTATTACCTCTGTCTGGCTCCTTTTCTTTACCATGTAGCCTTTGGTGGTGCTTGTAGCACCATGAAGATGTGGGCTGAGATTGCCCGACACCAGCCCCCCTAGGTTTCTTGTCTTTCCCAACCCCACGTATCTACACCCATTTCTTGACCCTGTGAACCCCCCACCTCTCTCTTCCCATTTCTCATCATCACCTCTCCCATTGAGTTGCCTTTGCACATTATGTTGTCAACTAACATTTGCAGCTGACTGGCGGGTCATTCAAGTTCTTAAACACAGCTTTTCCCTTTATTTTTCATTGCTTCCTCTCTGTCTCTTTTTCCCGTTTCTTAACCTCGACCTAGTTGACAGTATTGAGGAAGTCTTTTGCTTCTCTCCAGTTTTATTTTCATATTTTGGTTGTACCCCAAAAGACCAGTGATTAGTATCCAATCATTGACCTTTCTTCTCCTAACCATTGTCTAGTAGATCATCAGTTCAAGATGGGGTAGTTTCTTCCTCTCTGT